GGAAGATGTTTCTTTTTTCAATAAATAGTTCTTCTAATTTTTTTAACTTTTCGTCAAGAATTGACTCAAATTTAGCTTTTTTTGAGCTTGGAATTTTAAAAAGGTTGAGAGCAGCATACTGAGGCAATTTGCTTTCAATTTTGTTGCTCAGAATAGTTTTTATTGTTAGTATTAAATCACTAACCTTGTCCTTTTTAGAGTTTCCAGAACTGTTTGGCTTTATTTTATCATCTTTTTCTAGATTTAATGCATCTAGATCGCTGGTAAGTATTTTTTTTGCTATTCTAATATCTTCACAATTGTAGAAATCCATTATTTCGTAAATGAATTCCGCATCGTCAATTTTGTCAGAATTATTAAAATTATTAAATAAATAACACAATAACTCGTTAATGCAAACCGCTCGCGACATCGTACCGGAATGTATGTATGAATGTATGTATGTATGTATTATTGTTATTATTATTGAAACATTTATGAAGCGCTAATTAAACGAATCTCAAAAGCGCTATCTAACAAAAACTGAACTTAACAACATAATTGAAATAACAAACGAGAAATCATAATACATCGCACAGAAATAAGATTAAAAGATGTATGTATGTATGTATGTATGTATGTATGTATGTATGTATGTATGTATGTATGTATGTGTGTGTGTATGTATGTATGTATGTGCGAGTCCTTGGTTAAAAACAATATCCATAAAAACTATCATTTAGTCCCGACTCACTAGTTTATTATGTTGGTCCTAGGGTTTCGCGCAGCCGGGCATTTGGTGATATTTTCTAATATACAAAAAGAATTAAATTTTTATATGTATGTATGTGTGTAATGTAATGTGTAGATATATTTGCTCTTTTCTGAAACTATGTGTGAATGTGTTGGTTTTTCTGTGTGTGTGTGTGTGTGTGTGTGTGTGTGTGTGTGTGTGTGTGTGTGTGTGTGTGTACGAGCTAGTTTGTGTTGTGTATACAGGTAAATACCAAATCTACATCGGGATTACTTTGCATTTAAGCCTGGACAATATAGCAGCAGCAGTAGTAGCAACATCAGCTACAGTAGCAGCAGCAGCAGTAGATTTATTTTGCTAATCAGTATCAGCAGAAGTAGTTGCTATTGTATTAGTGCTAATGGTAGAAAATAATGGAGCAGCCGTTTTACTAATTTTACAACTTGTGGCCTGACAACTTCACAGTTGAGTCATTTCACGCGTGTGTTTCTGGTTCTTAATCACTCTGCATTCAATTGAACGTATGACGTCAATCTTATTCACAATGGGATAACTTTAATAACATTATAGTAATAAAAATAAAAATAGTTGTAATAACCATAATATTTAGAAGAAGAAGAAGAAGAAGAAGAAACACAAACACACACAAACTATTTGTTGTCTCTGCTTTGACTGTTTATTTGTTTGTTTGTTTGTCTGTCTGTCTGTCTGTCTGTCTGTCTCTCTGTCTGTTTGTTTGTTTGTTTGTTTGTTCGTTCGTTCGTTTGTTAGCCATTTTTTCAATTTTACGTTGTCTTTCTAAGAAAGCACATTAAAACATCGTGTTAATAAAAAAATAATAACAGCCGTCAACAACAACAACTGACTAACCCTAACAAATAACCATGGAATTTTTCATCTTGTAATTCAAACTTCCAGCAACAAGGTTGTCAAACATTACATTATATTACATTTTTTCTGTATTAAACATTATTGACCTATGACCTACGACGCGGTTATAGGTCATAGGTCTTTCTTTCAGGAGGAAAGAAAGTTCAAAAGTTCAAAAAAAGGTTTAACTTAATAAATGATGTCCACAAAATTGATGCGAGCCTGTTAATTGGAGTTAATTATTTGATTAATTTATCAGTTAATTAGATGAAAAAATTGCTAAAAAGTTTATTTTAGGTTATTATTTGACTGGTTTTAGTGTGACATCACAATGACTAACTCACACACACACACACACACACACACACTCACACACACACACACGCACGCACGCACACACACACACAAACATACAAACAAGCACACATACAAATATATACACACAAACACACACGCATATATTTTTATAAATATTTAATAAATATTTACATATTTACTTTTTCACAGTTTATTGACTTCTGAAAGACACCAAAAAAACAGTTATTTAAAATTTTTATTTAGTAAAAAATTTTCAAAACAAGTGTAGAATATAAATAGAAAGCTGAATGGCAGACACGCTAAAAAGAATTTATAAAAAATATGAAACAGTATAAAAAAATGAAATAAAAAACAGGTTATAACCAGTTTCAAATTCAAAATTGCGAGAAAAAAATTAATCTGTGTCACATGCAAAAGGGCACACACACACCAGCCTTAAAAATGCATTCTCAACAAATTCTCAAACATTCCAAAAAAAAAACATAGCATCAGATTGTCAAAAGAAAAGCATCAAATATGCCATCAGGTAAATAAAAAAAATCAATAGTAGAAAAACTCACATACAGACACACACACACACACAGACAGACACACACACAGACAGACACACACACAGACAGACACACACACACAGACACACACATACACACAGACAATCACCACAACACAACACAATTTTGACTACAGTTTCCTAAACAACAATGCCGCATATTTTATGTACCACAGTTCAAGTTAAAAAGCTAATGTTCTACAGAGCACTAAGGCTGAGAAGAATATTTTTACCGGGGTGACAAACTAATGGTAACTTTTAAAAAAATGAATAACCTTGCTTTCAACAAGAATTGAATTATATACAGTATAGTATGTACCAAACACCATATCTTTATTTAATTCTACAAAACATGTATATGTTCAATGGCAGATCGGAATATTTCGAAAATTTAAAATTTTTAGTAAATATATTGGAAAGAGAAAGGGAAATGTTACAATTGCTGCTTTCATTAAATAGGCACATTTCTAATGTATATGTCTACATTAATTAATAAAGAAAAAAATTTGTTTAAAATTTATCTGTTTATAATTTTTTCAACAAAGTCATATTGAATCATTTCTTTTAAGTATCAAAGTTAGAATTGATTCTGAGATACCTTGATCGCCTAGATGTGCCATTACAACAAGTGTAAATATATGCCGTATAAAATGAAGTTTAAAATGTACGAAAAAAAATACACATTATGCTTTACCAGATTCAACTAGTTAATTCATAAACCTGTACATCAAAACCGCCATCACAGCCGTCATAATCGTCATCATCGCCATCATCATCTTCATCATCCTCTTCATCATCGTCAGCGTAATCTTCATCATGGTGATCATCCTCACCAGTGTGGCCATCATCATGATCTGGCCGTCGACTCCGTATATGTCGACGTCATCTCTGACGTCACCACTCTCGTCAATTAGGCTGCTGAAGCTAATGTCGTCGGCACTTTCACTTTCAATGATGTTGTTTTTGTTGGTTTTGTTTCCGTTTTTGTTCTTTTTATGATTGTCGTACTCGATGACGTCATCAGTGATGTCATCATCCTCTCTAAAATTGATCTCTGAAGACTCAGAATCACCCCTCTCACTGCTAGCAGCACCGTCGTCATTCGTATTGGCAGGATACAGATTAGAAGGTTTATGCGGGTGATTGAACTGTTGAGATAGGTTGTTTAATTTCACAGTGGCGTTCTTATCTGTAGGTGTGTTGTTATCTTTAATATCAGTGTCATCATCTTTTTCGTCATTTTGGCCATTCTCGGTTAAAGTTAATAATTCTATTTTATCACGATCAATGCTTTCTAAACAATCGCCATCTTCAGTTAGTTTATCAAAATTTACACAATTGTTTTGGTCATTTATGTCGCCTTTACTCTCATTTGCGACAGATTTGTTTTTGTAACATGTTTGGTTTTTAAAGATCTCTTTATCATCATTGAAGATGTTCTGTCTATTTTTGCCGGTTATATCTGCATTGGCGTCTTCGTTCAGTAACGTGTTGTTTGAGTCGTGGGTTGGGATGTTTGGTTTAACAGTTTTGTGTACTTTAGTCGAGTTGTCGGTAGCATCTGTGGTTGAAAATTCTTGTTCATGGGCTCTAATAACAAAATTGATGGCGGTTCTAGTTTTGTTTTTAATTTTTCTCAAAAAACTGTGGACGACGAGGTAATTTTTTACATCCCTGCCGTTTTCAGTTTCTTCCTCTTCGGATGTGTCTTCTTCTTTGTCGATTATGTTGATGTTGGTCATGGTGAATTCAATGCTGTTGTTTTTCTTTTTGAATTCACGACTCAGACTTTTGTTCTTATCACAAATTATTTAAAAAATTTTTTTTAAATAATTATTTGAAGCAAAAATGTGTCTTATGCTACTTATTAAACTTCAAAGATTACAAGCTTTATCTTGTTTTTAGGAGTGGCATAGCAATGGCAAGATAGAAGTAGTGGAGAAAATGAAATTTAAAGATTTTTGGGAGATGTTTATTCAAAAAAAAAGCTTTGACCGACTCTTGTTGTACTTGTACCATGTGATACCAGCACAGACAAGGAAGGAAATTTCAATTGCAGTTTTATTAGCCTCCTAAACATATTTTAACATATTTTCAATAATCACAGAAATCTGTAAACAAACTTTTTTCAAATAAAACTAGTTGAGAATATTTAAAAAATTAAGTTTGAACTTCGAAGACTTTAAAATCAGTTTTTTAATCGCAAATTTATACAGAAGGGAATTAAAACAGAATGGAATAATGACAATGAGAAGCTAAACAATGCATGATTTTACACATTCAAAAATAGGTGGTGTGGTGGTCTAAATACGGATGGTATGATTACCAGGTTCCAGCGGCATTAGAAAAATCATAAAAAATTAAAAAATTTAATTCCTTATAATTTAATTCTTCACTATTTCTAATTATATGCTTAATTACAAAATAGTTGTTAAAAAATATCTTTTTTCCAAAATTTTTTTTATTTCTGCATTCTAACAAGAATAGCGTTAAAACAGCTAAACAATGGAATGCTGGATACGCACATGTAATGTGTATACATACCTACATACATACGTACATACATACATACATACATACATACATACATACATACATACATACATACATACATACATACATACATACATACATACATACATACATACATATATACATACAAACATACATACATACATACGCTTTTGAGATCTTTTTTTGTAATTAGCGCTGTACAAATTAACTTTTAATAATAATAATACATACATACATACATACATACATACAAACATACATACATACATACGCTTTTGAGATCTTTTTTTGTAATTAGCGCTGTACAAATTAACTTTTAATAATAATAATACATACATACATACATACATACATACATACATACATACATACATACACACATACATACAAACATGCATACATACATACATCCTATTCGTACATACATCAACATCTTGATCTTGACCCTAAACCTAACCCTTCTATTGTTGTTTGATTGACATGGCCTTTCCATTGCGACATTATATCTTACAACTTTTGGACAATTTTACGATTTACTTTTTAATAAAAAAAAATCGCTTGTGACGAAAAAATATTATGGTTCTAGTTGAAGGCATTGTTTTTAACACGTGGAAAATGTATTTCAATTGCAAAATTACATTAACTTTTCTTTGGTGGATCCTTCTCTGTAGAAACTCAACTTTTCTTTGCTGGGTCCCTTCTCTGTAGAAACTCCGTGCCATGCCAGGGTTATAACAAATCAGAAGGCTATAATATTTTATAATATATTGTTATATGGTGTAATATTGTTATTTTATAATTATCATTTAATATTTTATTTATTTTATTTTTTTATTTTTTTTTAATATTTTATTTGACAATATTTTATTAACCTCATACGAAATTATTTTACCATTATACGATATTTTTTTATTATTTTATCCCGGTCTATAATTTTTATATTATGCATACCAATAGCATTGATGACGAAGATGATGACGATGGCGACAACGATGATGATGACGACAAACTGAATATATTATGATAATGTTTAATGAATATTAATTTGACAGCTAAGGCTAATGAGAAGCGTAAAAAGATTGCTAGTTCTTGAGAAAATCCAAATTAAAATGTGACACAAATTCTATGGAGAGTGAGCGGATGAATAACCCAAAAAATTGTACATATTTCCCATACCTATAAAAAGAAATTTTCCAAAATTTCCTTATCAAAATCTATCTCTATTTCTCTCTCTCTCTCTCTCTCTCTCTTTCTCTTTTTCTCTCTTTCTCTCTCTCTCTCTCTTTTACTATCTCTCTATCAAAATAAGTGTTACTAAGAAAAGTGATTCATCTATATTAATCTGCTGACTTATGCTTATGTTAAAAATATTTCGAAGACTTCAATGTTATTATATAAAATTAGGAAGGATTTTTATTTGGAGTCTTTTAATCTTCTCTTCAATAACCATCATTCTATCATTATTTTGTTTCGTTTTTTTTGTGCTAATTAGGAATATAAAAAAAATTCATAAAGTTATTCTTATAAAAATTTTATCCGAATCTATAATTTTCTGATCATTCGCCAGTTTAGTTCTTGTACCATCTTGAGATGTTTGTTTGAGAAAAGTTTAGAAAGACAATTTGACTCTTTCATATATTCATTTTAAATTTGAACTTAATCAGAAAATTTGATTCAACTTTATGACTCGCCAGAAGATAAATTTTGGAAAAATATTAAATTTCTGGAGTCTAGTGGAAAGACTGCTTGTGGTAAACATACTCAGTTAAATAAAGCACTCCCAGTGGGCAAATCACATCAACAATAATCATTACATTATGATGACAACAGTGATGTTGATAACAAAGATCATGATGTCATTATTTTCTTTCTTTAACAGTAACAACGATAATGCTACTTTTTGACATCATTTTTTAGCAATATATACATTCTTCTATGTGTATATATCATTTTTAATAATTTATACATATATATCAAACACATTCAATTTGTATATATTCAAACCACGTGCTGTAAATATTGAACTAGCTACCTATTGTTAAAACAATTGGTGGCTATTTGGTTTTTCATTTTCATCTGAGTTTCTAATAAATAAATAAGCATATAATATATATGTATATATTTTATGTGTACAGAAATGCATATTTTTGCGTGCTAGAAGAGTGTTTATGAATTTTAAACACTGTAAGTGAATTATCATTTATATATAATATGCTAATGTGAATTGATATGAGTACTGAATGATTGTAGCATTAAAAATTTTAAAAATAATAATAATAATAAATAGTAATAATAATAATAATATGTAATGATAAATAATAAAATGAATAGTAATAATATGAAGTTGTATGCTTATGATTATTAACATGATTCGCTTAAATTCAGGATGTCTTGCTGAAAATTACGTTTCGTATCTTATATGTATATTTTGTATATATATTGGATTATAAAAAACCACGGACTTTGTAAATTTATCCGGTTCATTTAATCATTTGCTGCTATCGAACACGGTCTATGTATTTAAAGTTAGTGTTGAATTTCATTAAAATTATTCAAATAGTTATTAATTTACCTTTTTTTTTGTATTTAGCCATTAGTTGTTATATTCTAGACTCATTGAAATGAATTCTGAATAAATTTTGATAGAATGGTTATCAAATAAATATAAATAAGTGAATCAGACAGACGAACGTACAAAGAAGTGAATAATTAATTAGATAATTAATAATTAATATTGATAATTAATATTAATTAATTAATTAATATTAATTAATTAGTTAATGTCAACGCGAAAATGTCTACAAGACGAATGGAAAATTCCAGAAACAACAACAACAACAAAAACAACAACAACAACAGAAACAACAACAATAATAATAATTATTATAATAGAGAAGATGTCTTCAATGATGAAGATAACGATGACGATGTTAACAATGATGGCGATGATGACGAAGAAGAAGATGATGAGCATAAATATTTCTACCCTACTTCGACTCCTTTGTCAGAGAACTCGCATATTTGCAGGGCAATTGGAATAAGATTACACACGGCGGATGTTAGCCTTTGATTGTTTCCTCCGAACCTAATTGACAGATTTTTTCGGATATATAATTGATTGAATAGACAAGCTAACTGACCGATTGACCGACTGACCGACCATTCAAATGACCAAAAATTTACTGATAATTGAAATGAATTTCATAAATGGTGTTATGTATTGGTAGATTGTTTTTGTTAAGTATAATAATCCACATAGTAAATTTTATTTAAAATTTAAATTCATTCAAATAAAATTGAACTGATGAAAGTATTCAGTTAAACCGGATAAATTAATTGAAACGTATACAGGAGAGATGGAGAACACTGAGCGAGAAACTGCTGCCAAATCTAACGTCGCTTGAAAATGACATCATAGCAAGGGCTAAAAATTCTGGTAGGGAAATATTATTCGACGATGACGATGACAGTGATGATGATGACGAAGATGATGATGATGATGATGATGACGACGACGATGATGATGATGATGATGATATTTAGGTGAGGAGTTGCTGAGACGCTGGTTCCAGACAATGGGGAAGGCGGCTGACTTGGGGGCTTTGCAAAAGTGTCTGAAGATGATGGATGACTTCAAAGATGTTGCCGAGTGTTTGGACGAGTTGAGAAAAAGTGAGTTAAAGAAATTATTATTACCGTCGTATTTCTTTATCTTCCTCTTCTTCTTCTTCTTCTTCTTCCTCTTCTTCTTCTTCTTTTTATTATTATTATTATTATTATACTTGGTGTTGTTGTTTTGTAATCATAATGATAAAAAAAAACGACGATGATGATAAATGATGATCGTCGTCATCATCATCGTCATCATCACCATCATCATCATCACCGTTATCTCTCCTTATTCCCAATTCATATGTGATAAACAAGGATCACGTTTGTATTCGAACTCTGTCCAGTCAACAGCAGAGACAGACGTCTTAACCACTACACTACACTTGCCGCTGTATATATATATATATATATATATTCAACATCCTACGCTATCACTCACTGATTTACAGACGAAAGAGTGATTTGGGTCTCACTCTACTTAGGATCTTCGAAAGAAAAATTGGGAGAAGAGTCTTTCAGGGTGAAAGGGAAATACCCATTGAAGAAGTACGTATCGAAGTGGCTCCTACAACATTCTGTTCGCAAGCTCTCACGCTCTGTGTTTCAGTACGAGTTTGTGGATGCTGATTTCAAATGGTCCGATATAGCGCAGAGTTATGTTGTAAGTTGTGGATTGCTTTTTTTTAAGAAAAAGTTTCTATAGTTCAAAGTTTAACAAAATTTAAATTTACAAAAGTTAGAATTTACAAAAGTTAGAATTTATTTATAGGGTTTTCGTTCGTTTTGCCCTTAGCTTAATTTTGGATTGTGTTGTGAAGTTTCAGTCCTATACCTAACCCAACCTGGACCCCTCTCTTATGTGCTCATCATCGTTTCGAGAATTATTCATTAATGAATTAATAAATAAATAATTAAAATAATATTAAAAATAATTTTTAATTTAAATTTTTTTTTAATATATAGGGACAAGATGTTAGGATAAGACTGCTGGCCTACTTGAAAGAAGTCGGTTATGATTATGATGATTATTATGATGATATGATTACGGTTATGATATAAAATGATGACGATGATGATGATGGTAATGATTATAGTAACTGGAGATATTGATGGTTATGGTGATGATGACGACGACGATTATAATGGGTTGGAGTCAGGTTGGGTTAAGGTTAGACTAGGACAAATGGACAAAATTGTTCTTCTGGTTATGTTGGATAGCGGCTTTGGGTAGTTCAACAAAAGTCGCTATACAAGTTTTCTTATGATGATGATGATAATAATAATAATAATAATAGTGTGAACATATTTTATTTATTCAATCGACAAAGTAAAATTCAAAATAATAAGAAATAAGAAATGACAAATAAAATGAAATAATAATAATAATAATAATAATAAGAGGTATTATGGTAAAAAATTTTCGCATTTAATTTATAAAAGTAATATAAAATTGTTAATGATAATTCTGGTTTCTATTTAAATTTTAATCGTTATATTATGGCGGGTGCTACCGACGGTAAAGAGTACCTGTGTTAACTCACATAAACTGTCTTAAATGAACGTCAACAGAATCCAAGTGAAGAAAAAACATTGGTTCTAAGAGCTAACACCAACAACAACAACACCAACAACAACACCAACAACGATAATAACAACAACAAACAATCTGAAAACGCTGCTAGCAAAACCAAGTCGGACATTATAAAACCCAATGTAACTAAGAAACTAATCAACTTCAGCACGAGTAGTAGTAGTAGTGGCAATAGTAGCTACTACAAAAACGACAAAAAAACTTACAGCAGCAACAAAAACATTTTCGATAGCAGACTTTCTACAATAGATGGCAGTGCGTCAACCCAGCTATCGGGACTTAGTGTAAGAGAATCAAGTGAAGATTACGACAACAACAATCCCATTTACGGCTTCAATTACAGAAGATCCAACAACAACAACAACAGTCCAGATCAAGAAAAACCCTTCAACCGCCACGACAGACCTCTTCCTTCAACTCCAAGCAACAACAAAAATCTGAATGACTTAAACGATTTGGGTAACTGTGTTTCGAATGCTCATTGCCATTTTATGAACATTATTTTGGACGATGACGAGGACGATAATAACAAAAGTTATAGTAAATTATAAAGTACAACAGATAAAATTTAACTAGTTAATGATGACATTGCCAGCAATTTTACTAGTAAATAAGAAACAATGAAATAGAAATTAAGAAGGAATGTTGATTTGATGCAGAAATTTGGAAGTTTATGAAGTATTTAGGGTCATTTTCTGTCAGCTATGATGTGCTTATAACCGTTGTTTTAATACCTTCACATTATTTGCAGATGTAAAAACATTTTAACTAATTTTATTTTTCTTTTCATTTCATTTTTTTCTACCGTTAAAAAGTGCAAGTAATTCGGGCTAGAAATAAAAAGAGTGAACATTCAAAAGTGAATTTTTGTAATAATTTGAAAAATGAAAATATTCATCATGGAAGGGTTTGGCAGCCACTGGGCTACAGGTCTCTGAGTTTAGCATGAAATTATCTTGCTATTAACGTATATTAGTATTGTTAATCACAGCGTTTTGAGCTAATAAGTAATAATTAACGTACAATTTCTAGCTAAATAAACCTTTTAAGAGCATTCTTTAAACAGTAAGATGAAATTTAAATTCAGTTTGACAATAAATTAAATGTGATTGTATTGAAGTTTTTTGTTCTTATTTTGTAACCCCATAATACAACAAGTAAAAAGACCTGCTAATGGGTTGAAAATCTTGAAAAATTGTAAAAAAAATTAATTGATCAATATATCTGATCGAATATCATTTATGGAAGTTTTAACATTTCGTATAATGCATTTTGTCATTTGACGCGTAGATGTTAAAGACAATCATTAAAATGTTTAAATACCATAATTGAATGGATATACATACATTTATACCAATATAGACAATTAAAAGAGACCTATAGTAATATAACGTGTGTATCTGTGTGTGTGTGTGCGTGTGTGTGTGTTAAATATTTTTTCAAAAATGCAATCAACATATATTGTTGCTGATTTAAATTAAAAATTTTAAAAATTTGAGTATTATCGTCGCTTAACGTACAGAAAATTAAAATGGCCGTGAATTGAAATTTCGTCATCATGATTAAAAAAAATCTCAAAAATCTTAGCGAAAGTACAGCATATTTGAAAAACAACTTTGAGAATCTTCACACGGCAAAATCATACCATCAACTTAGATATCAACAGGCTATCAGAAATATGTCGTAACTTGTATTAAAAAAAATTTGGAAAACTAATAATACTTTTCTCACCATAATCGTCACCACACTACATTTCAATTACTTTTTTCACCGTGCTTGGTGGATTCAGAGAGAAAACCTAAAACCCTATAATTCCCTCAAAACCACCATATAACCACCTCATCTCAATCACCACGGGTAGAATGAGTCGTTTGGCTCCACCATTTTAATCGCCACACAACCTTAATCCCGTCACCTCACTCACATCATCATTTCCACATCAATCACCACACCACATATCAACCACCACATTTTAGCCACCACATTTTAATCACCACATTTTAAACACCACATCATCACAAACTCACAAACACCATACAATCATCACCACCATGCTGGTCACCGCGAGCACCAGTCTTCGATGCCAAACGACTCATTCTACCCATGACACTGGCTAGTTTTTCTAGTTTTTGACTCTCTGGAAGGGCAGGGTCGAAGAGGGTTGGGGCCGAAAAACGCCTGTAAGATTGGCCGTAGGGTTTTTCCTTGATTGATGATAGGCGAGTTGTTTTTGCCGCTGTTTGGAATCTGGAAGGGGTAGAGGAGTGAGTGATCGTGAGAGTTATGATGGTGGTGTCAGTAAAGGAATGATAATGATGGGTGAATTAAAAGAGGTTTTTTTTATTTTGAACTTTTTTATATTTATTGTTAGTTTCATCAGTAATTTAGTTAAATAAATAAAATGGCAATAAATTGCACTGAAAATTATGATTTATTAATGATAAATTTCCGTAATTTTATTCAATTTTTCTAGCCCAATTAAAATTATTACAATCTGGTTTTATGCTTAAAATGTATCTTTGATAATTCTTACCTGTTTCCGGAAACACTTCCGGTTTTCATGAAGGTCTTAGATGGCCCTGGAAAGGTCACCAAGGCAGCTCTCGTGGTCGCTTCAATCAATTTTGATAACCTGGTCAAGCGGTACTATGAAC